ATATATATATATATATATTACTTATATTAACTCTTATATTAATTAATATATTACTTTAATTTTGTATATTGCAAAAAAATGCCAACAAAACTTTATCATGACTGTATTTGTTTCAAATCTAATTTCTCAGTAAATGTGCTTAAAAATTATATAATACGTGTAATGTTTCTGATTAGATTTGCACTAATATTAATAATAAATTAGTTAATGACGCATCACGAAATATCAGTTGTTTAAAAATGATCGTGTTTCTTGATAGAACTTTAAGCCACACTATTAAAAATTACTACTAAAATTTAAACTTTTATAAAGACAATCAATATTGTTATGATTAAGAAAATAATTTAGAAATCCAAATCGTTATAATTGAAATTCTAAATACACTAAGAAAATCGGTATGTTCGATGATTAAGATATGAAATTATCTTCACCTCTACAGCAATAGCAAAAGTAATAACAAAGAAAACATTTAGTTACTAAATGCAATGGAACGACGAACCGTGGACAAATGAAACATCATCAACGTAGCGTGGCGTCATATATCAACTATCTTAAGTCACACGCGCCATCTAGTAACGATTATCCTAAGTTAGAAAAACTACAAAGAGAACAACTGCCTAGCAATCACACTTCAAGCAAATCACGTGACGCCGAATCAAATTTTGCTCGCATGAGCTGAAGCAAAAGGATATTGGCACAAAATAACTGACGACATGACTTGCTTGTTGCACGGTGTTTATCAACTGAAGCTGAAATAGTGCGATGGAATAAAAAAGTTCTAATCAAGTGGATACTCTTTTCTCGACGCAGTAAAGGAGAGTATTTTTTTTTAATAAAAACTGGCCAGTTTACGGATGTTTAGCCATGCATTGAAATAAAATTGGAGAGACATTTAGGAAATGCTAGACTTCTTTTTTTTTTTGTATTTGAATTGAAAAATAACGATCTGAGGACTGTCTTTTAAGTGTGTGCTTAACAGCTGAGAAAAGTGAAATTGCATCTTGAATAATAATGTAAAAGTGATTTACTGTGTGTCATCATTCAGTCAGTTCTGACAGATACACAGATCCGGGATTAGTAGGAATTAAATTTGATGTTTTTGATTTATTTCAGGACTTGATTTTGATTGTTGAATCAACACTGTGAAGATATGGATAAATGATACCAGAAGAATTTTTTTCCAAGCCTTCTTTCTGAATCCAGTATTTTTCTAATATTTGTTGCATCAAAATTCGGAGTTTTTTATAAATTTTATATCACTATCTACTTCGAAATTTTTAAGGATTTTTTATTTAAAAGATTCCAAAATATGACTTATCTAATAAAGATGAGGCATATTCTAACTCTGGAACTAATTTGAAATGTACATGGATGTTAAAACTTTGTAGATTTTCTAATGAATGTTCTACAAAATATAAATAAAATTAAATATGATATTAATGTTTTTATTTAAATATTTTAGGCATTTTGATAATAAATATGTAGAAAAAAATATTGTTTTTCAATTATTAGATTCTTATGGTAAATTCTTGATTACTTTCAAATGATTCAATACAACATATAAGAGTACTTAAACTTTAATAAATAAATATATAAATTATTCCAGATTTACAAGCGGCTTATAAACTAAAATTTATCTACTGATAGCGAATGAAAAATTACATTTAATTTGTAATAGTAATCAATTTCATTAAAAAAGAAGTTAAAAGTTTATATAAAAACCATAAATTAAGACACGATAATGTAAAAAAAGGCAAAAGTATTTAAGAAGTGTTCCCGAAGTAAATAAAATAGTACTTTAAGTTTCAATATGTTTAAAAAATATATTGCACTCTATAATGTACGCACTTTACTGTAATAAATTATACTTTAGTTAATTTCCAGTGTATTTATTTAATTGAATAATTTCTGTCATAGGTTAATTCTTGTGTTATAAAAATCACTTTAGAAAATTAAAAAAAAACAATTATTTAAAAGTCTATCGATTGTTCTTAATGTACAAATTACACAATTATTAATAAAGGTCATACTTTTATTTCAGGCTTTGACTAGTACTGTTTATAAACTAATGACAACTTCTGATATGAATTCTCAGTTGATAATAGCTGTAGTAGCAATGTTTAACAAATTCAAAATTGTACAGGCAATATGTTAAAAACTGCATATTAATTTATGGAATTTCAATTGTTTTTAGATAGTTTAATAGTTAGGAAATATAGAATAGTTTGAATTAGACAGATGTTGTTCAAATTGTGCTACAGAAAAATGAATAAGAAAAAAGAAACTAGCAATGAATGGGACAGATCGTAGTATTTCCCCCCTAAGTTCATAATTTTAATCAAAGGAATATTCGACAGATGGATCAGGGATGACAAATCTATTCTTTTGTTTCTTCCGTTGTTTTCTGCTAATCTCTTTTTACCAATTATGGAATGAAACTGCGTATTCAAATATCGATCATTTGAAGATATCGAAGCATTGAGAATTAGTTTTCCTTCATTTACATATTGATTTTCATAAAACGCCATCTGTCGTAAATTATTTGAGTTAAAACCTGGATCTATAGGTGAAATAATTTGCGTTGTGTCTCATGAATTTGCTGCAAGAACTTTTCTTTAACCCAAGCCATTTTCTAGTCATAAATTTTTTATAATTGCTGTTTTCATTTATGACACCCTGTATCTCTCTCTATAGAAGACTCAAGTTATTATTCACATCAAGTTCAATATTTACATTTCACTTAATACATTAAATATTAATACTTTATTTATTTTATGAAATTTTAAAATATAATGAAGAAAGATTCAGATAAGGAAAATTAAAGCAATTATTCAAATTTGTTTTCAGAAATACATAGTTTTCAAAGTATTTAATTCTATGTTTAGAATAAAAATGTTCCTTAACAGAGGAAAAGCCTTTTGTTTATAAGTCTAACTGAAATAATCTGAAGAATACCACACGCAACCTTTAAAAATAATTTACTCTACAGCAAATTCTTAAATTCCTTTTGTAATGAGGAGAAAATCTTTTCTGAGCATTCATAATTTTCTAAGGATTATCTTAAATACTTGGATGTTTCATTGTCTAATAAGGACTTATTAGAATTCAAAACTTAAAGTCATAATTTTTTTTGGAATTTAATTCTAATCTTCTAAAATTATTTTACAAATGTATATGTAAAATAAGAATTTACATAGGAAAATATTTTTGTGAAACTTAATTATCCGATTTACATATGACTTTTAGGATGATTTCTTAAAATTATGTTTCAAATTATGTCTTAACTTTCTGTTTCAGTTTAATTCTGTAGAAATATCACTTTAATGATATTTTAAATGCTATTTAAGACGACATATTGCTTTCTTACCTATACTACAAGTCCTGCGTAAGTATTATCGTTTCGAGATAGATCAAAGTGCATTAGTCTTTAAGAGTAGAATAAATTGAAGTATGCTTAAAATTAACTTCATATGCAATTGTTTAAAAATAATTATACTTTAAGTATTTGTTCATATATATATATATATACAAGTTTACAAATTTATGAATGGAAATTCTTCTAATTCAACTGAAACAAACTGAGTTATAAATTGGGAAAACATGAAAAGTTTACAGCAAACGATTCATATGAATAAACGAAATGTTCTAAATTTATGATTTAATTATATTTGCCAATTTACGTAAATTTAATAATAAATTAGATGTACATATTTACATATTTCAGTTTTAATGATGCTTTATAATTATTACCGTGGGAGTAAGATACGTTTTATCAACGAAGATCAGCTCTATATGATGTTTTTTCTTCATTTTCTTATCTTTTCTCATAGGTTTTTATTTATTTTGTGAGTTTTTGTTAGAAAAAAAGATGTACGCGTTTACGTAAAAATATAGCACCCGCAATCATCCCCTGAATCTCTAAAGGCTAGAATTTATAGTTTTAAAGAATAAAACTGCATAGTATGTAAATTGAATTAAACATTTATTAATCAATAAAATTGCAATTGATCTGAAGTCTTTTTAGAATTATATCACGTTTTAACGTTCGTATAATAGCAATTGTAAATGCAAATGCAAATTTTTATTTAAAATAAAAAATTTTAATCTATACATATTACTTGTTTCTACATCACTATTTAAATTTATTGTTTGTTAAAGAAATATTAGTTTCACAATGAATTTAATTTATTGTATTGTTATTTTTCCTCAATAGCTTCTATTTTATTTTATCATATTAAACAAGAGTATTTTTTTGCAGAAATTTAAATCGTTATATTTATATAAATTAGTATCAGTATTAGTGTGTTAGAAACTACGTATCTTTTTAATTTTCAGACTCCCAAGAAATGCTGATTTATTCTTATGTCATTTAATTTTTGAAAATTAATGAAAAGTAAATATATCGTAGAGAAATGAAACAGAATTCTGCATAAAATAAGCGGATTCCAATATTTCAGGCCAAATATTTCTTAATAAATCTTAACTCCAAATCTCCCAATCTAATGGCTATTTTAATTAAGTAGAAAAATGTAATTTATTTAAATCTTTAAGAAAAATAAGCCTTTCACGGATTTCAAAAATTAGAACTGCAGACATATCTCCGAAATTGGAACTCAATTTTCATTTCAAAATTTTCTAAATAAATCTTTAACGTCTTTATAATAGGCAGAGTAATTCCATTTTCTAAATGAATTTTGAAAAAAAAAACAAAAAATGAAAATGAGTTATGGCAAGATATCGTCTGTTACTGATTTTGATCTTCGTCTAGTTGTTTTTCAAAGATTTACGGCTTGCATTCACCGATTAACGGTTCGTTGACGATGAGCTAACGATGACGATAAATGGATCGATATCGATATAAGCTTCGTTGGAGATAAAAGGATAAATTTGCCACTCGACGATATTGCCTTCGCTTCTTGAGAATGGCGAATCAAAACAACACTGCAAGATAGATAAAAGAAATCTAGTTCATTTTCTTTTTTCTTCATCATTCCTTTAAAGTTGGATAGCGCCGATATCGAATATCATCTTTTCATCATTTTTTAAAAAGCCGTGATGAAACAGTGGAAATTTCTTTCGGATATTAATCTGATAGAGTAATCAGCTGTTTTTACTCGATTCGATCAAGTAAAAGTACTTTCTCAGCCAGAGATAAATACAGCAACAACTAAGCACAAAAACAATCGTATTTCACACTTTCTTTATGTTTAAGCTTTCACTTGCTACGGAGTGGAAAAAGTCAATGCAATATCGATTTAAAAACTAAGTCTATGAATGAAAGATAAATAAAGTCTGAAACTTTAGTTTCGAAACATCAAAGACTTTGACTGTCTTACATTTGTTTATGTGAGAGGATGGTATGGATAGTCACAGAGATTCTAGGGTCGGGACTGTTTTTAAATTTGGAAGCCGAAAAACAATAATTGAATAATTATTCTTTGAAATGAAAGCATTATAATTTTAGTTATAAGGTTAATAATTAAAATATAATTTTCCTTTCACTTAATTCAACTTGAAACATGCTATATACTAGCTCAGAAATTTAATCTACGAACAACGCATGAAACTGTTTAGCTTTAACTCATTATAATTTAAAACAACGCATGAAACTGCTTAGTTTTTGTTCATTATAATTCAAAACAACGTATGAAACTGTTAGAATTTAGTTCATTATATTTCAAAACAACGAATGAAACTGTTTAGATTTTGTTCATTATATTTCAAAACAACGAATGAAACTGTTTAGTTTTAGTTCATTATATTTCAAAAAAAAGTATGAAACTGTTTAGTTTTAGTTCACTATAGTTCAAAACAACATATTAAATTGTTTAGTTATTTCATTATAGTTTCATAATTGTAGTTCAAAATCACAAGTTTAGTATGTCATCGGTTCAGTATACAATAGACTATAACCTAATTAATGACTTAAACCTGAGTTTCGAGATAATTCGCAAAAGCTCTTGATAGAACAACGTTAGAAATATTCATAAAAATCTATGTTAGTCTATTTAAAATTTCCTGATCAGTCTGAATTTATAGTCTATTTTGAAACTTCCTGATCAGTAACTTCATTAAAAAATCTCTTTGTATATACTATTGAATTTCTACTAATTAGAGTACTAAATAAAAAAGAAATATTTAAAATTGCCTCGTGAAAAATTTGTCAATGAAATCCTCAAGAGTATGATTTAAAAAAATTATGTTATTAAAAAAGAGGTTGGTACTAATATTAGAGATTAGTAGAATCTTAGAGATTGTATTGTTAGTGAAAATTCTGCAAGAACAAGAATCGTACCAATTTGAAAATCTAAAAATTAAGCAGTTTTAAATATTAAAATCATAAAATTTTATTTAACTTATTTATTAGTAAAATAAATTTTTGATACAAAAAAATCAACATAATTAAAAAAAAATCGACAATATTTTCCCTAGAAAATGTCAGTACTTTTCAAAATGAATTAGCGATTTTAATATTTGCAAGCTATTGCGTAAAGCGACGACGGGACTTGGCGTCAGTGGTATTATGTAGCACATCAATATAAAAATGTCTTAATTGTTTTTTTTCTTCTTTGGAATTGCAAATCAATGCAACAGCTTTTTATTCAGTATTTTTGTTACAATATGTTTCCAATTTTTTTAGTTTAGAAATTAATTAGAGTTTATCTATATTATTATAGTATGTTCTATATATGTCCTTACCCTTCCAAGACCTGTTTTCCTCCTCTAAGTTTGCGTTGTACTTCTTCGTAATCACATGCTACATCAATTCGTCTGTCTGTACTCCGTAAAACAAAAGGATGATGCTGAACGACCACGCTATTAACAAATGTGCCATTTCCCTACAAATGGATACAATTATAAAATTAGTTCTCTAAGTTTAAACAAAAGCATTTTAGAATTTTTTTAAACAGTATAATTTTTATTGCACAATATTAAGTATCACTTTCAAAGAAGCTTTTTGCAGCATGCATGTACACTGTTAGAATTTTCATACTAAAATTACGGAAAAATAAACGACATTAGTCTTTTCATCCAATTAACAGTCATCCAATTAACAGTCATCCAATTAACAGTAAGTTTTCATCCAATTAACAGTAAAGTCATCCAATTAACAGTAACAGTAAAGTCCAGTAAAGTTTATGGACAGAACATTTTGTATCGTTACGGTTTTGAAACCGTATACAACTAGAATGGTGAAGAAAGAAGCCATGGATGGAAATTATAAGTTTTTTTTTAACCATTTACAACTGGCATGGTAATACTGGACTTCTTTGTTGTAAGCAACTTTACAGTGCTGCCACCTATGCGTGAATGAGAATAATAAAAACATCGTATGCTAATAGCTCAGGGTAACAAACTGGAAAGTGCATGACACTGAAAACTCTTCGCGTGCTCAAGGGAATGAGGAAATATTGTGGTGTCATCGCTGAGACTCGAACCCCCATTCTTTTTTTCATGAGATTGGCAGATTAGCCCTCTCATCTATTATGTGTGCCCATCTGCAAGGAAATAAGTAGCTTCATTAGTTGGTGGTATAAAATTCTGTTTCTTTGATCGTATTAGGGGAAAGCAGTTAATAAAAGGTTATTCTCACAGTTAAAAGCTTGACTACCATCTAAATTGTTGTTTAAACAATTTTTCCTAAAAATTTCTATGAGTGTAGGGCATAGAGCCTCATAGCTATTTAACATTAAACTGTTCCCTAATATTGATGTCAAGTTACAACTTATCAAATTCACGAAATTTCCAGTAAAATATGCCTAATCAAGTTACTAGGCATTTTCAACCCAAATCAATCTTTCGAACAATTTTGAATTGTAGCTCAAGATACGATTGCCCAGATCATTCACTTTTGTTTTGTACTTTTTGAACTAAACTGATACGAAATGTGTCATTTTATGGGAATTCCAACAATATGAAGTTAATATTGTGCCTTGAGTTCAATTCAGAATGCATCTTCAAAGGGGATATTTTATGATGCTAAAAGTTATTAAAAATTGTTTTCTTTATTTAATTAGAACATAATCTACATAGATGCAATCTATCGCCTAAAGATTCAAAATGCATAAGAAAATAGTAATATAATAAATCGTAATATAATTTTCAAAATTAATATTATTTTAAATCAAAACATATATTCTAGAGAAAATAGTGCTGTATAAAAATTTAGATTGCAAAATAGCAAACAAAAAGGGCAACATAGCAATACGCCATACCTTTTTCCATAAGAAGCCTTTTTGCATCAAATTCATCTTTTGTATTGTTTCGAAATAAGTAATTAACAAGTTCCCAGAATATATACTAGGTGGCGGTGCAATAAACAGTGAAATCTTATTCCCACTCAAGGAGTTTTTCGGTAACCAGTCTCTTCTTAACAGCTTAAAATTATGCATAATCCTTTTAAGGCATATAAACGGTATTTTCATAAAATTTAAAAGTAATTCAAACGTTTTCCGTTCATTCATTTTATTAACTCATACACCAAATTTTCATGAAATATTGAATGCATCATTTCTTTATCTGCATCGCGGTAATCCATCACAATTATCTTATCGTCAAACTAAGAATAATAATAAAATTTTACTGAATTCCAGATTGTAATCTCAAGCCTTTCAAAAAATAAAAATTAATTCCAAGCAACATAAATCATTCTCAAATAACTTTAAATGTGTAACTCCAAAGCATTTCCTCAATCCAAAAGCAAGTAATAATGCCATTTTCTCCGTGTCCTTGAGCGAAAATCTCGCCAAAAGCAAATAAAACTCTACCGCATATGCAAATTCGAGATAAAAAAAATAAATACACCGCGAGCAACTTCAAACACTATCGAAGAATCATGACTAGAAAATCACCAAGAATTTTATGTAATTCCAGTGTCTGTTTTCTCTGTCACGAAATCAGAATATTAAAATCTAAGACATTTTAATCTGAATTACGGAACAGGATGACCACAGGGAATAAACTTGTAGATCATCGTTGAAGAATGCTAAATTGAACGGGAGTTACATTGGATTGATGGGGCTGCAAGATTATAAAATGAATGATGTTATACGAATTTTCAACAAGTTTATCAGATGGAAGAATAATTTTTATGGTGCATTGGTTATTCTTCCTTCCGCATCAGCGATTTGTTGTTTGTTTAGTTGTTACTGATTCACAGGTAATTGTTGCACCATTTTTTCCTTACATTTCCTTAACATCTTTTTTAATGTCTTTTGATTTGAGATGGATATTTATTTTCAAGTAATACATTTCCCATAGTTTCAGAGGGGAAATATTTTCCCTTGATAAACATTTTTTTTAAACTTTTAGAAGACGCATGAAAGGTGATTCCGATTTTTTTATTGAAATGCTCTATTTATAATTAGCCAGATTTTATGTGGATTGATAAATATTTTCTCTATAACTCACAGGGGAAATAGTTTTCCCTTCATTTTTTTATCTCTTAAAAATTTATGAGTTGTTTTTTCTTCTAACATAAAAGCTTACGATAGTTGGTTTGAGCAACGATAGAGAGATGGCGGTTTTGTCTGCTATATTTTCAAGCGCAGTTTGTATATTTTGCGTTGTTTTCCATATTCTTTGACCAATTTTCTTTCTGTGACAGTGCCCGTTTTGTGCTGAATAAAGTGATTTGACAACATTTTAGTCAAGGTGTCTTTTAAATAATAAAAACGGCATTTTTTATTAATAAACATAAATTTTAGAAACAAAAATATCTTGACTAGGTAATTGGCAGTAAACATACAACAGCTCTCATAAAGATAGATGCGCATAAACCCGTTATCCCTTAATTGGTAAACACTATCTCATAACTCTAAACACTCGGTCGACCACTCTGTAAAATTCTGTCATAACTTTAATGTTAAAAAAAAACTATCTTAATGTTTAATATTTAAATGCTCCTTTTAACTTGTTAAAATTTGCTATGAGTATTTGTTATAAAATAATAGCCCTAGTGAGTAAAATTTCACCATTGAAAAAATAATCGAAACATCAATTTCAAAAACCAGTAAAAATGATGCCAGAACAAGCATAATCATATACTGGAAATTTAAAACCTGGTATGTCACCGAAAAGGAAATTTTAAAATCATTATAGAACCATTCTAAAAATTTTAAAACCAATATCGATCAAACAGGAACTTTTGATACCAGATTTAAAATATACTGGAAAATTTGAAGCCAGTATAGAAAAGTACTGGAAATTTTTAAAACTATTAGCATGTTGGAAATTTTGAAGTGGTTTTAAAATATACTAGGGAGCATTTAAGCAGTATACTATTTTAAACTCTCAGGAAGCACATACTCATCAGGTAATCAAACAGGGTTTGACATCTTACAAACAAGCTTTTCTCGCGTAAATAATTCGTCATTATTAATCTGCTAATTAATTTCTAAATTTTGATAAGGATTTATTATCATATATATTACGAGTGGTGATAATGACAACTTTTTTATATACATGCATTAACTAAAAAAATGCATATTTGTAATTACTAAAATCGTTTTATAATTTCGGAGCGAAGAAAACCTTTGAGTAAGATTGCTACACATTTTAATTACTTTAAAATCAGTTTAAAGTTATGTATTTAAATGAAAGTAATTTAATAAAAAAAAGCAATCTAATAATAAAATAATTGTTATTTTTTTATTTGTTTTTTGATTTAACAAAAATTACCTTCACTCGAAAACATGAAAAAAAATGCTATAATAAAATATTAATTAATACTATTAATAAGTTTTTACTATAACTGAACTGTAACTATGTAGTTCCTAACTGAAACTAAACTTATCGATCCGTCGAATAAAAATAAATAAATTAGTTTAGGCTTCAAATAATTTGAAAAGGAGCAAAAAGTTCTGTTTACATAAATTAGAAATTGATATAAAATATCAAACATTTTACCTTCAAACATCAACCTTTCCTTCATAAATTTGTAAATTTCAGTCTGTTTTTGAAACTTGCCTCAAATAAATTTTGATCAAAAAGCAAAATAAACTTTTTAAATGAAATAAATAATTTTTTTGTAACAATACAGTTAGCAGTATTTTCAATTGACCCTAAAAAAGCAAAAAGAGGGCTTAATTCAAAAACAAAAGGGAACCACGCAAAAGACGAGAATCGATTTTTAACGATTTGTTAAATCTATAACTAGTTACAAACGCTCCAATTTTTGAGAATGTTATGTTCAATCAGTTTTTTCATCTCCTTCCATTTCTCAGTTTCAATTTACAGCTAATCACATGTAAGTTGCTTTCTTCGACTTAAGTTTACTTGTTTGCATTTGGAACTAAGACTCCAAGCTATGGAGCATTATAGAAAGACTGGCAAAATATTTTAGTAAAGGTATTTTTCTCCTTATTTCTTGTCTTTGTCAGTTACAGAAATATTAAAATGCATATTCTTGAGTAGTATTTATATTTCATATAATTAAGACGTGTACATAATTCTTGAATTATTATTCCATGTAGGGTACGTTTAATACAGATTTAATTGCATGAAAAGAAAGTATTATTTAATGCTTTTCTTCTTTCCTGGTATTTAATAGAATTTAAAAGAAGCGCTTTAATAGATACGCTAGTATTTAACAGAAACGCTTTGCTCACATAATATTTACTTAAATTCGCATTAATTTCATCGTTATTAACAAATTAATCCTTGGTTTATTTGTATATGTAATTTTTCAACGCGGCATTCTATCTAAAGCATTAATCACAAATTATTTTGTTGGTTTTAATGTTTAATTTTATTTTAATAATTTAAAAGGAATGTGATTTTGATTATATTAACTGTTGATACCCTGAAGTTTTAGTAAAATTAAATTATCATTTTAAAA